TGGATTGAAATAAAATATTTTAAAATTTATGATATTTTTAAAATATCTTACTGGTCACCTTTGGAGGATGCTAGAAACCAGTTACTTCTGAATACTTGTTAATAAAGGGAACCCCCGTGCACAAATTTTTGTGCACCGGGTCTCTAGTTATATATAAAAGCCTTTAAAACATCAATTGCCCTGGCAGGTGTGACTCAGTTGGTTCAGTGTGGTCTCATGCAAACAAAAATGTATTTTGGGGTACATCATTAATGTTTGCTTCCAAGGATTCGGCCCTCCTTAACATAATGATTCTTTGTACGTATATATAAATGTGTGTGTGTGTGTGTGTAATATTGTTTTATTTTATTGATTTCAGAGAAGAAGGGGGGGAGGGGGGAGAGGGAAGGATCAATGATGAGAGAGACTCATCAATTGGCTGCTTCTTGCATGCCCCCTGCTGGGGATCAAGCCCACAACCTGGGCATGTGCCCTGACCGGAAATCGAAATGTAACCTCCTGGTTCATAGGTTGATGCTCAACCACTGAGCCATGCTGGCTGGGCCTAACAATAATTCTTAAAATGAGAGTATATTTGCAACTGATGTATCAAATAAAGGTTTGATGGCACAAATATATAAGGAACCCATACAGCTCAATAAAAAATAATCATATCAGAAAATGGCCATACAGTATGCACCTCTGCAGCACTTTTGCTAGAAAAAATGGGCAGGAAGATGTTTCTCCAAAGAAGACATACAAATGGCCTACAAATATGAAAAGGTGTTCAACATCACTAATCATCAGAAAAATGCAAATTAAAACCACAATGAGATATCACCTCACACTTCAGAATGGCTATCATCAATAAGTCAAAAAATTGCACTTGATGGCAAAATGGGTTGAAAGAACAGTCATGCACTGTTGGTGGGAATGCAGATTGGTGTATCCACTGTGGTGGAAAACAGTATAGAGATTCCTCAAAAAACTAAAAATAGATCTAGCAATTCTAATTCTGGGTATTTACCCAAAGAAAGCAAAACATGAATTCAAAAATACATATACACCCCTGTGTTTTCTGCAGCATTTTTTACAATAGGCAAGCTATGGAAGCAACCTAGGTGTCTACAAAATAGAATATTACTCAGCCATAAAAGTAATGAAATCTAACCCTGTTCAGTGTGACTCAGTGGATACAGTATTGGCCCATGCATCCAAGGGTCTTGGGTTTGATTCCCAGTTAAGGGCATGTACTTGGGTTACAGTTTTGAACCCTAACCTCGTTGAGGAGACAACCAATTAATGTCTCCATCACACTGATATTTCTCTCTCTCTCCCCCTCCTTCACTTCCTTACACTCTAAAAATCAATGGAGTCCTGCTGGTATGACTCAGTGGTTGAGCGTCGACCTATGAACCAGGAGTCACAGTTCCGTTCCTCGTCCAGGTGCATGTCAGTCTGGGTTGTGCGGGAGGCAGCCAATCAATGATTCTCTGTCATCATTGGTGTTTCTCTCCCTCTCCTTCCCCTCTGACATAAATAAAAATTAAAAAAAAATCAATGGAAAAATATACTCGGGTGAAGATTAACAAAAAGTAATAATAATAAAATCTTGTCATTTGCGACATGTATAGACCCAGAGAGTATTATGCTAAGGGAAAATTAGAGAAAGAAATACTGTACATTTCACTTATGTGTGGAATCTATAAAAACATAAATGAACAAAGACAAAACCAGACTGATAGAGACAGAGGAGGGGGATAAGAGACTGGGCGGAAAGGGGAAGGGGACTGTAATACTGTGTTAGGTTTGCACAGTGGCAGATGATCACTAGAATTAGTGGAATGGGTGGTCACATCGTAAGGTCTAAAAATGTCCAATTACTATATTGTACACCTGAAACTAATATAACCAATACAATATTACATCAGTAAGGCAGATTACAAGTTTATGTAAGCTAGAAAGAAACCAGTACCTGGCGTAATTTAGGAGAATGATGTGTAATGTAATCCCGTGTCTAGGTCAGGTTCTTTTATATCAGGAACTAGCCCAAATGAGCTTTTAGTGCAGTGGTTCTCAACCTGTGGGTCGCGACCCGTTTGGGGGTCAAACAAGCCTTTCACAGGGGTCGCCTAGGACCATCCTGCATATCAGATATGTACATTACGATTCATAACTAGCAACATTACAGTTATGAATTAGCAACAAAAATAATTTTATGGTTGGGTCACATCATGAGGAATTGCATTTAAAGGGCCAGAAGGTTGAGAATCACTGTTTTAGTGTCTCATGAACTCCACTGTGTCTTGTATACAAGTCTGGATGAAGGTAAAGTTGGATTTCTGCAGGGACAGAGACTTGCTGTAAGTCTCAAAGGCAAATATCAACATTGAGAAGCTCACTTTTGAAAGAGTATTTTCAGCTAACGTTTATGCTTCTCACAAATAGAGTTTGAAACAGCCGAGACACTTCTAAATTCAGAAGTTCACATGCTTCTGGAACATCGAAAGCAACAGAATGAGAGTGCAGAGGACGAACAGGAACTTTCTGAGGTCTTCATGAAAACTTTAAACTACACAGCTCGTTTCAGTCGTTTCAAAAACAGAGAGACCATTGCCAGTGTCCGTAGGTGAGTGCTAAAAGAAGTTTTTAAAAAAATATATATATTTTTTATTGATTTCAGAGAGGGAGGGAGAGAGAGAAAAAAAATCTGTGATGAGAGAGAATCATTGTTTGGCTGCATCATGCACACTCCACACTGGGGATCAAGCCTGAAACCCAGGCATGTGCCCTGACCAGGAATCGAGCCATGACCTGGTTCATAAGTCGACACTCAACCACTGAGCCGTGCCAGCTGGGCTAAAAGAAAGTTTTTGTTAATCCAGACTATTGGATATGTACAGGTAGAATGCTATTACCCATCCCCATCATCTCGAGGATTAATGTATGCAAAATAATTTGTCAAAAATTAAAAATTGCTTATAAGGCCAGATTTCTCTTTCGCTACCTTCTTGCATATCCCAAATCCCAGTTACCTCCTTGCAAAGTAACTATTATTAGCAGTTTGTTGATAGCCCTTCAGATCTTTTTTTCATGTATTCATATATATATATGTATATGTATATATATTCATATATATGTATATATATTTGTATATATATATATATTCATATATATGTATGTATGTATGTGTGTATGTATATATGCTGTTTTGTATTGTAAAAAACAGCACTTTGACCCTACCCAGTTTGGCTCAATGGACAGAGCATCAGCCTGCAGACTAAAGGGTTCCAGATTTGATTCTGGCCAAGGGCACATGCCCTGGTTGGGGGCTCGATCCCCCCAGTACGGGCTGTGCAGGAGGCAGCCAATCAATGATTCTCTCTCATCATTGATGTTTCTATCTCCCTTTCTCTCTGGAATCAATAAAAACAACAACAACAGCACTTTGTGTGTGTGTGTGTGTGTGTGTTTTGTTTTGTTTTGTTTTGTTGTGACTCCTCACCTGAGGATATTTTTCCATTGATGTTTAAGAGAGAGGAAAAGACAGAGAGAAGCGTCAATATTTGCTTTTCACATTGGGTTGGATGTGCCCTGGACATAGTGATGTGCTGGAGAGTATTGAAGGCCACAGGAAGATTAGCACATCTTCCCAAAGGGTCAATTTTTTATTGTTTGTTTTTGTTAATCCTCACCTGAGGACACTTTTTCATTGATCTTTAGAGAGAGTGGAAAAGAGGGGGAGAGACACAGAGAGAGAAACATTGATGTGAGAGAGACACATCGATTGGTTGCCTCCTGCATGTGCCCTGACAAGGGTTGGCATGGTACTTATAACCACGATATGTGCCCTTGACCCAGAATCAAACCCAGGACCCTTCAGCTACGTAGATGCTCTATCCACTGAGCCAAATCAACTAGGGTTTTAAGTGTCAGTTTTACTGGATAGTATGTGATTTAAAACATTTGTATGGATATCAGCATATTTGGACTAAAAAAATATATATGAACTAGAGGACTGGTGCACGAATTTGTGCACTGGTGGGGTGCAGCTGTTCCCAATGGGCGCCATCAAGGGCTGGCTGGCTGGGGTGAGTAGCCATGGGCAGGGCTGGCTGGGGTGAGGGGCTGGGGGTGGGGCCGGCTAGAGTGAGGGGCTGCAGGTGGTTTGCTGACCTGCCCCGCCCCGACAGTAATTAAATACATTGTGGTAAATCCGTTTGATGGGCTACTATGCTGTCATTAAAACCTATGATAGAAAAAGAAATGGAAATATGGTTACATATGTTAAGTGTGCAGAAAATGAAGGTGATAAAACTGTATGGGAAATATAGTCTATTCTGACAAGTGTGAATGTATGCATGGAGAAGAGACTGGAAGGAACTGTGCATAGTTTCCATGTAAAATTATAAACTGTTAGGCCTAAAAGATGACTTGAATAAATGAAGGTGAATTGCCGAAGCCGGTTTGGCTCAGTGGATAGAGCGTCAGCCTGCGGACTGAAAGGTCCCAGGTTCGATTCCGGCCAAGGGCATGCACCTGGGTTGCGGGCACATCCTCAGTAGGAGATGTGCAGGAGGCGGCTGATCGATGTTTCTCTCTCATCGATGTTTCTAACTCTCTATCTCTCTCCCTTCCTCTCTGTAAAAAATCAATAAAATATATTTTAAAAAAATGAAGGTGAATTTAAACATATTCGTGAATGAAAAGTCTTTATGTTGCAAAAATGTCAATTTGCCCCAAACTAATGTATACATTTGCTATTCTAAATCCTTGAGGGAATTGAAAGGGGGAGCAGAATAAAATGATCTTAAATTTGTGAGAATTGTCAAAAAATTTTTAAAAAGAAAAATGAAGGGAAATTTACTCTATTAGATGTTAAAATGCATTAAAAAGTGTTAATTGAAATAATATAGTGATACTTTGTCATGAAATAGATCATTCAAACAATAGAAAACTTGGAAACATTCAAATACAAATTTTTTATATGAGTTCAATTTATGGTTAAATTGGCACTGTAAATTAGTGGGGAAATATTTTACAACAAAGTTTGAACTCTATATTACACCAAAATAAATTCCTAAGAAAATAAGGATTTAAATTTAAGCTATGATGCGTAAAGTGCTGTGTGTGACAGCATGACTGAATGTATATATTAGTTGTGGTTTAGCAAAACTTTAAATGTGGGAAACATGACTGACTCTAGTTGAATGTCAGCTTTGTGAAGGTAGGGACTTAGTCATATTCATCACTGTGTCAGTCTCATTGTAGTCAGTAAATAATTAATTGAATAAATAAATTAATATAAATGTATTTAAACTTTCCTATATTGATAAAATGCCATGTGTAAAATGTAAGTGTGAATAAACTGAGGAAGGATTAATATCCTTAGATGATACCCAGTTCATAAAAATGGCTTGATTTATATCAGAACTTTAAATGACTAGTTCACATGAAATAATGGCCATATTTAAGGAAATCAAAGAAATGGTGAAATAGCTAAGTAGACTTAGAAAAGACTAAAAAGAATGGGAATCCTACTGTAACAGGTAGGAGAAATGGGCACTGTCATTAATTGCTGGTGAGAGCATATATTGGTAAAACCCTTGTAAGGGTCATGTCTCTCAGAAGCCTTTAGACAGTCTTATCCTTTGAATAATCCTACTGCCAGGAGTTTATTTTTAAAACACACAGCAATCAACTACACAAACAAGTGTTCATTAAAATGATGTTCAAAAAGCATTGGAAACAAATGAAATGTTCAACAAGAGGAAATTTGATGTATAAGTTATGGCTCAACGTGTGTACTGACATGGAAAACAGTTACTGTGTTGTCGAGTGGAAAATGGCCAGTTGTGCCTGGCTGGTGTGGTTCAGTTGCTGAGCGTCGACCTATAAACCAGGAGGGAGGGGTTTAGTTCCTGCTCAGGGTATGCCTGGGTTTCAGGTTCACTACCTATGCCTCTAAGACAATGGTTCTCAACCTTCTGGCCGTTTAAATACATTTCCTCATGTTGTGATCCAACCATAAAATTATTTTCGTTGCTACTTCATAACTGTAATGTTGCTACTGTTACGAATCGTAATGTAAATAAATATCTGATATGCAGAATGGTCTTAGGCGACTCCTGTGAAAGGGTCTTTCGACTGCCAAAGGGGTCGCAACCCATAGGTTGAGAACCACTGCTCAAAGGGACATCTGTCAAAGGAAACCAGTCAATGTGTCTCTCTCACTTTGATGTTTCTCTCTCAACCTCTTCCATCCCTCCCTCCTCCCCCTTCCCTCCTTCATTCCTCTCTTCCAATCTCTCTATAAAGCAATGGAAAAAATACCCTCTAGTGAGGATCAAGAAAAGAAAAAAAAAAATGGCCAATTTTGGTATAACATGTTAGGATTCCTTTTTATAATTTAAAAAATATATTTGTGTTGATTTCAGAGAGGAAGAGAGAGGGAGATAGAGATAGAAACATTGATGGGAGGAATCATTGATCAGCTGTGTCCTCCATGCCTCCTACTGGGGATGGAGCCCAAACCCAGACATGTGCCCTGACTGAGAATGGAACCTGTTACCTTTTAGTTCATAGGTCAATGCTCAACCACTGAGCCATGCTGGCCAGGCTATGAAAATATTAATACTGGTTATTCCTGGGAAGAATTTTAGGTTCAATGCCATTACTGATACATACATACATATATATATAGATTTCAGATAAGAAGGGAGAGGGAGAGAGAGATAGAATCATCAATGATAAGAGAGAATCACTGATTAGCTGCCTCCTACAAGTACCCTACTTGGGACCAAGCCTACAACCCAGGCATGTGCCCTTGACAAATCGAACCCAGGCCCCTTCAGTCCACAGGCTGACTCCACTAAGCCAAACCAGCCAGGGTGATACTTTTTTTTAATCCTCATCCAAAGACTGAGGATAATTTTTTTATTGGTTTTTAGAGAGAGTGGACGTGATGGTGGAGGGCGACAGGAAAACATCTATGTGTCAGAGACACATCAATTGGTTGCCTCCCACTCACACACTGAGCCTGCAATCAAGTTGCGTACCCTTGACCAGGAATTGAACCCAAGACCCTTTGGTCCACAGGCTGATGTTCTAACCACTGAGCAATAGGCCAGGGCTATTGATAATTTTTTGGTATTGTTTGTAAATGAGTATGTGCTCATTTGAAAACATTATGAACCTCTTTATAAACTTAAGTAAAATTTACTGTATTTTCTTTACAAAATGAAAATAGCTTCAAGTGACAAAAAGTTACTAACAGAATGTGTGAGTTTATATTCTGAAACATAGAAAAATGTCTAGAATGCTATTATACTAAGATTATATGTTGATATTTGTTTATGTGGTAATATGGGTAGGTTGCGCTTTTTTTTGGCCTTTCTGTATTTTCTAAATTTTGTACATTAAATATGCTTGTAATAGAGTGATAAACACAGTGTTTTGTTTCTGAACAGATAATTAAAGTTTTCTTTGAAACCACATTTACCATTGATGAGCTCTATTTTACTTTTATTTATTTTTCTAAAAGATTTTTTATTGGGCCTGGCCAGCATGGCCCTATGTTTGAGTGTCTACTTAATGAACCAGGAGGTCACAGTTCAATTCCCAGTCAGGATACATAGCCTGGGTTGCAGGCTCCATCCATGATGTGGAGTGTGCAGGAGGCAGCCGATCAATGATTCTCTCTTATCATTGATGTTTCTGTCCCTCTCCCTCTCCTTTCCTCTGTGAAATCAATAAAAATATATTTAAAAAAAATTTTTTTAAAGATTTTTTAGTAGTTTTTACAGAGAAAGCACTGATATGAGAGAGACATAGATTGCTTGCCCCCCACGTGGACCTGACCTGGGCTGGGGATTGAACCTGCAGCCCAGATATGTACCCTTGACCAGTGATTGAATCTTTGACATTTTGGTGCATAGACCAACGCTCTAACCACTGAGCAGAGCAGTCAGGGCATTCGCTGTTGTTTTATACAGTTTGTCATCCTATATAATACCAGGCAAATATGCAAATTGATGAATGGCGGCACAACCGATTGCTGACACACACTGACCACCACGGACCAGACGCTCAACACAGGAGCTGCCTGCTAGTGGTCAGTGCACTCCCACAGGGGGAGTGCCACTCAGCCAGAAGCTGGGCTTACAGCTGGCAAGCACAGCGGCATTGGTGGGAGCCTCTCCTGCCTCCCCGGCAGCACTAAGGGCCCCTCAGGTGTCCTGGACTGTGAGAGGGCGCAGGCCACGCTGAGGGACACTCCCCTCCCCCCCTCTCATGAATGTTATGCAGTGGGACTCTAGTTTAAAATAAGATGCAGTTTACATATATATTTGTACAAAGTAAGGTATGCCTGTATTTTGATAAATTAGAAAAAATTTTCTCCAAGTCAAACACCTAATAGATTGGAGGCATCTAATACCATGTGTTTGACAAAATTAGTAACGAAGGAAGCAAGGAAGAGTGGTAAGAAGAGCAGAGAGCAACAAAATAAATGACTTCAGAAACATTGCATACTCCTTGAGGCATATTGTGATTTTTCAAAAGTTGCAGTAGCAGGGCTTCTCTGCCTGAATGTGATTTCTTAACTTTCATTATTTCCTTCATTTTGTTGTAACTTCCTGTTCTCCAGGAATAGGACCAAGAAGTAGTTTGAAAGTAGGATTTTGCAACTGCCCTAACCATTATGGAAAGATTGCACATGCTTTACTTTCTCTCTTCCTTGCTTCATTTGATTCCCATTTCCTATTCATCACTCTTTGATTATGTTTTGTTATGATTTTCTTCCTGACGATCAGCTTGTTGCTCCAGAAAAAGCTTCATAAGTTTGAATTGGCCTGTTTGGCCAACCTTTGTCCAGAGACTGCTGAGGAGTCCAAGGCTCTGATCCCAAGGTTAGTACTGGATATGATAAATTCGTTGTGTTTTGTATATATTCCTACAACTGGAATAACTGTCTAAAAAGTGGGTGCATTTAAAATCTGGATAGACATAAACATTGAGAGGGCCTCTTTTAACAGTGTGAGAATGATGATTTTGTAGCAATCCCATTGTTAGCAGAAGTGTGGAATAGCTAAAACTCTCAAACACTGATGGAGTGCAAATTAGTACAGTCACTTTGGAGAGCAATTTGGCCACATCTAATATAGGTAAAGGTGAATATACCTCATGACCCCAAAATTTATTCCTGAATACATGCCTTCAGACCCACTCATTGGTTTAGAAGTAGATGTGTATTCCAGGGTATATTGGTGTGTGTTAGTGATAGCAAAAACATCACATCAGTGTATAGGCCAGCTAGAGACTGGATAGATATAGAGACTGGTAAGAAGAGCGCTCACAGAAAGCAATTGAAGGTCCGGAGAAATATCTCAGCCCTAGGGGTTGCCATTGAGAGCTCTGGGGTCTAAACCCAAAGCTGGGCCCCCAGCAGAGAGCACCACAACTGAGAAAGGTGCCCGCATAACTGGTTGTGAAAAGTGTTACAATATGCCAGGGGAAGAGAGCTAGAAATGCAGGCACCCTCTTAAAGGTCCAATACACAAAATTTTGTGTGCAGCCACTCACATTGGGCTCCTGCAGAGGGAGAGCAGAGTGGACTAGAGATGTGGGGGCTCTGGGTTAGAGCTCAGGAGGCAGACACCCTGGTTTCCTGTGATGAGTTGTTCCCTCATGCTGTGGGGACATCTTTCTTAGGCAGACCTTTGCTATCCAGGCAATTTTTTCTGCCTGGGGTCGGGATGGTTGCCGGGGAGACAGTTGACCCACCCCATTGGAAAACCCCTTACCCCACCCTCTGTAGTTTCTGATGCCCATTAAGAACTGAGAACAATAATTAGCCTCCAGGTAGAAGCAGTTCCTTCACCCAGTTGGGAAACCTTCTCCCCCAACCCGTGGATGATTGCTTGAGGCTACTCAAGACTGAATCCAATCAGTCTGCAGGCAGAGGCAGGTCTCTGGAGGCTTTGAGTCTGGTCTGAGCTAATGAGGAAGAAATAGCATTTGACACTGTCCTGCACTAGAGATTGGGAGGCATAGTAGATATAGCTAATACATAGTCACAAACCCAAACAGGCAGCCAAAACGGAGAGACAAAAACCACCCCCAAATGAAAGAAGAGAATTATCTAGAAGAAAAGCTAGCCGAGGGCGGGAACCAAGATGGCGGCATAGGTTAACGCCGGAGTTTGCTGCCTCGAACAACCACTTCAAAAATACAACTAAAAGACGGAACGGACATCAGCCAGAACCACAGGAACGCTGGCTGTGTGGAAGTCCTACAACTAGGAGGAAAGAATAACGCATACGGACACTCAGAGGAGGCGCAGTGCTGAAGGCAAATTCTGA